ATAGCGTTGCCTTTAAAATAACAATTATTTTGCATTCAAAATAGTATTGTCTTAAATGTTTTTGAGAACACATTCTATCACTAACAGGTTGTGGCAAGAATTTGCTGCTGCTATATCCATTAACATTAACATATCTAAGTACCAATTCCATATTTGAATTATCAATTATATTCTTTGACTGTTAATGTTAGATGCTATATATGTTGGCATTAACGTATCTAAATTGCAGTTATGAATTTAGCTTATTAAATAAATACCTTACCAGGTACAGACAAGAAAATGCCTGCTATATCCATTGACATTAATGTATTTAATCTAAATTGGAATTACGAATTAAGCTTACTAAATACCTACATTACCTGATAATGGTATGTAATGACAGTTGTAACCGATGGTGTTAACGTATCTAAGTTTGAATTTCAAATTTGGTTTACTAATTACATAATTAGCCAGGATTCAATTTCTGTTAAATATTAGATTAGCTAGCTATTACTTTTTGTTTAGAGAAGTGTATCTCTGCTCGGACTTCCTGAGGCTGACCTTTGAGGTCAGATACAAGACAAAATAAAGTAAGTCGATTCTGATTGGCTGAACTAGCGTGGGAATTATAGATAGAAGTAGGTTTTTCAAGCAGTTGAGTATAAACCGTCATGCAATGTCGACGTGGTACATTCGTGTCTGGGAACTTGCTTCCCAGTAGGGGTTGAGAGCGCGAACCCACTGGACAATTAGTGATGTATATGTCGACGTTATCAAATTAGTTAAGTTTAAAATTCCCTTTACTGATGTCTTTTTATCTTCGAACCAAAAACATTCTAGCGATCACTGGTTCTGAAAGAAGAAGCCATCGTCCAAGATCAACCCCACCAGAGAGAGTATGCAACATAAGTTCAATTTGGCACTGTTGACCAGAACCACCCAAGAACGAAGGGGTATAGAACAGCTTCAGTTACTAATTACGCTTACTAAATACATACTTTGCTTGCTAATGGTAGAAAATGGCTGCTAAATCCATTGTACTTGAAGTACATAGATTCCAATTATGAATTAACCTTACTAAATATATACTTACGTAGTGGTAAGAAAGTGGCTGCGATAGTCATTAGCATTAACCTATATAATTTAAGTTCTAATTTTGAATTAAGTATATTAAATGCTTGTCATGTTACTGGTAGCAAATTCTTAATAACGTAGTAATATTCCTTAAGGTATCTAAATCCCAATTACCAATTAAGCCTATGGTGATATTAGCCGTTTCCCTATAAGGAAACATTTGACAGTCATTGACCGAGCAGCCAGTACTTTTTTCAGTTTAAATTTATAAAAACTTTCTATTAAAGTACTTATTTTAAAAACATTTAGGAAAACAGGTTTCTCAACTTCATTAGCTATTATCGCTTTTTCCAGTATTAATATTAACCGTTTCCTTCCAAGGAAACATTTGGCATTTATTGATCGAGAAGCCCGTACTGCATTCGGATGAAATTTATAAAGTCTTTCTCTTGAATCATTTTTTCGGGAAAGTAGTTTTTTAAGGTCCAGTAGATGTTATTGCTCTTTCCAGTATTGATATTAGCCTTTTCCCTATAAGGAAACATTTGACATTCATTGACCGAGCAGCCAGTATTACTTTCAGTTGAAATTTAACATATCTTTCTCTTAAAATTTTTTTTTTTTTTTTTTTAAGGAAAGCATGTTCCTTAAGACCGGTAGCTATTATCGCTCTTTCCAGTATAGAGTGGTGTTTCCTTCGTAACTTCCTTTTGAGTATTTGATATTAGCCTTTTCCCTACAAGGAAACATTTGGGATTCATTGACCGATCAGCCAGTACTGCTTTCGTATTAAATTTATAAAATCTTTCTCTTAAAACAATTATTCAGGAAAACAGGTCTCTCAAGTCCAGTAGATGTTATCGCTCTTTTCAGTATTGATATTAGCCTTTTCCCTATAAGGAAACATTTGACATTCATTGACCGAGCAGCCAGTACTGCTTTCATTTGAAATTTATAAAATCTTTCTTTTAAAACAATTATCCAGAAAAACATGTCTCTCAGGTCCAGTAGATGTTATCGCTCTTTCTTGTATTGATATTAGCCTTTTCTCTACAAGGAAACATTTGGCAATCATTGACCGATCAGTCAGTACTGCTATCGACTGAAATCTATAAAATCTTTCTTTTAAAACACCTATCTTTTATTTTTTTAAAATTTTATTTTATTTTTTTTAGGAAAATAGATTTCTCAAGTCCAGTAGCTGTTATCGCACTTTCCAGTATTCATGAGATGTTTTCTTCGGAACTGTCTATTTGAAGTAGGCACAGTCTGTAATATTAGATGAAGGATTGTCACCTTTAAGGCCTAAATTATTAATTTGCTTGAGCCATTTTTAGTCATGGAATTGTGAAAAAATTTGTATATCGTTTAGACATTTATATCACTCGTTAGGGGAAGCTGCTTTACTTCCCCTACAAAGGACAATAACTCAAAATACAATTGAGTTACTTCCCTTGTTTTGGAAGTCGAGCGCGTCACTTCTGAATTAAACATGGTGACTGGGTGACAGGCACGTGGGAAATCCTGGTTCCAATCCAAACAAAATCCTTGCTGTTCTCAGACTGTAAATGAATAAACGTTGGTTTATTATGTGTTGAAATACACTTGTCTTTTATTTTCATTCTTTTTTGTTGATCCCTACAGTCCGGGATATAACAGAACCGATGATTGTTTTCTTCCTAACGTTTTCTTAAAGGTAGTGTGAAATCTGAGCATCTTGATGATGTCATTATATTCGCTTCGAGTTACATGTGCTATACATTTTAATTATTGCTGCTGTTGGTTGTCTACAAGTAACGAAGTTTCTGTTATTTAGTACGAGGTAATTAGTTGTTCTATCTAAATACCAATTACAAATTAAGCTAACTAAATACTTAGTCAGGTAATGGTAAGGAAATATCTGCTATATCCATTGGCATTAACGTATCTAATCTAAATTCCAATCCCGAATTAAACTTATTGAAGACATTCTTTGTCTAGTAATGTTAGCTGCTATATCCACTGACATTAACGTATCTAAGTTCCAATTGCTAATTAAGCTTACTAAATATGTTTTTTTCTCACTAATTGGATGCTATATAAGCATTGGTCTAAATGTATGTTATGTGGTTACCAATTAAGAATTAAACTACTAAATACGTACTTAGCCACTTAGTGGTAGAAAAATAGCTACTATATACACTAGCATTTGCGTATTACATTCCAATTAGATATTTACCTTTGTAATGTCGAAATAAAGATTTCTTTTTCAAAAAGAACATTCATCTACTGATTAGGAAGACTGCCGTAGTGCGTTCGTAGGCAAATTGTATTGCAGACCAATTCGTTCATTAGTGTCGTCTGAAGCCAGTCTAAGTTAAACTGAGTAACTAACCATAACGCGTTGATAAAAAAAAACCTCTTTTGAAGTGAGTTTCATCCTCACTGGGTGACTGATTGCTTTAGCCGTTTGTTAAAGTAAATTAATCGTAAGTATTAAACTGGACGTCTACACTGGGTTTATCATTTGCGTAACTTTAATGTCGAATGAGAACCAGTGTTTAAAACTCATAGGGCCGTATATATCTATATCAATACAGACAAAAAAGATGCGACAATGGTAACACAAAAAAGTGTTTTTCTCAGAGCCCTCGGTGTAATTTTGGGATGGAAAAAACGCTTCTAAAATCTTTTACAAAAGGAGCTTGATTCAAGTTTTCAAATACTGTTTGATTAAAGAAATCGGAAAGGAAAGATGAGAGTTCTGATAATTCGATGCTTGAAAAAAGGAAAAATTTAATGTTTACCCAAACGCCGTAAACAACCAGTACTTGTAGCTAGTCTCACTCCATAATACCGGAATATTAAATGTAATTAGGGGAGGTTTATATGCATTGTTGAGGGATCTGCTAGGCTAATGCTTAGCCAGATGCCATAGATTACCAATACTTATAGCTAGCCTCATTCCATAATACTGGAATATTAAATATCGTTGTCGTGGTCCAATATGGAATAAAGGAATAGTGGAATGCTTTATATAAATATAACTCAGATTAATATCTATAGTAAACTGCAAGAATAGTTTTCTCCCTTTATTTTCACTTAGGTCAGCTAAGATGTTTTTATTTTATATACAGAGGCATTTGTCTTGGAGGCTTTTGATTACTGTAGTGTGAACATTTCTCAGTGTCCTTTCTGGAATGATCTGAAGGAAAGGACATTTTAGATGCATCAAAAAAAAAAAAAAAAAAAAAAAAAATTACACTGTAAATATGAAATACATATATACATATGTTTTTCCATTAAAAATGCTTTTCTATTCGTACAATGTGCAATTCATTAAATTTCGGCAAATTAAAAAAAAAAAAATCCTGTCGGGTATCTTCGTCATTTTCCGTAATAGAAAGCTCACTCTCCAAAAGATTTGTTGTACTCCAGAAAAATTATATAATGATAAAAATCTACACATCTACACACACACACACACACACACACACACACACACACACACACACACACACACACACACACATATATATATATATATATAATATCGCATATTGAGTGCTGGTGTGAATAAAATAGTGCTCGATGCAATATAACAGAGCTATAAACTCTAATCTGTCTTAACTCAGTATATGAAAATCGCTCTCTCTCTCTCTCTCTCTCTATATATATATATATATATATATATATATGTATGTATAATAAGCATGTAGATGTTTGTAATGAATATTCTTAAGCAAAATAACTCATTATTTACAAACAACTAGGGACATTTCAAAAATAACCTATTGTGTATAAATTCAGCGGTGATACCTCAATAGTTGCGAGGTCCTCTCTCCGCGGTTCTAGATTAAAAATAGAGCCACACGAATGTCATAAGTGAAAATCATGTGAGCGTTGTTAATAAAAACAGGAGAAAAGACATGAGGTAAAATCTGAAATTAATAATCGACAACACAAATTTACTGGGTAACGCTGAGAAAGAGAAGGAGACACGCCAACCTTTGTGGAATGAAATGAAAATAACAGATAGAGAGAATCAGTGGTGAACAAGAAGACTCTGCGCGTCGATGGACAGTTAGTGCTGCCTTGGCTGATTTGATGCCTGTATCGACAACGGCGTAAATCTCGGACAGACGGACATAATTAAATGTAGGTACTTCTACCCCCCCTAAAAAAACACGATACCTAAGGTTGAAAATGAATTTTTAAAATGAAAAGTCTTTCTTGTTGATTTTTTTTAGTTTTAATTTCAAGCTAAGAGATTAAATTTAATACTTCCGATAAACAAAATACATTGGTGTATTTCAAAAACTAATTTAAACTGACTGAAAGGATTTTTTTCTTTAACTTTCTAAAATACCCGATTAGCACTCTTTTTAGTCGTCTTATATTGCAATGTAATTCTCTGTATTAAAAATCTTCCAAAAATAAAATATTTTTTCTGAAACTTTATTTGAGGAGTATTAGCTCGTTTAAAGTGTAATTGATCTGATTTACAACAAATATTATTTACTTTAAAATTTTGAAATATCACAGAAATGCTTTTTTTTTTAACCAGATAGTAGCTGTGTTTTTGACCGACAGTAGTCATTTTTATGCATTTGACGAGGTGGAGACAAATCTAATGTTGTTCCACGGGCACTTTATTTGTAAAGCATAATTGAAGAAAATAACGTGAGCGCCTTTTTTTTTAATTTAATTTTTAAGTACTCGTTAATCCTAAAAATTTAGAGAAATATTTTCCGTAATATAATATTTTATTGAAGTTTAGAAATTTTGGCTTTGAAAAGGTGTTGTTGCAGTCCTATGTTCTCCGAGGAATCAAGAGAAGAATAGGACAAAGGTTTCCGGTTCGTTCTAATTTTTTTTCCTTCTCATTCACTTCCGTTTCCCTTCGCGCCTTGATAGTATTCTGTAACGCTCTACCTCGAGTTGCTCTGGGGCCTTGTACAGCGTGAACATCATTGTAAATACTTTATCGATAACATTTTATAATCGGATTGAAGATATAGTTCGTAAATTTGATCACATAGTAACTGTGAGTTCAATCCCTTGGCCTGTCAGTGTGCCTTTGGACTTAATGAAAACAAGGCGAGCAATAACTGCGGAATGAGAACTAGACAAGATATCCCGAGACATGGGTAATGGGACGAGAAATGTCTACTCATGTAGATTAAATAAACGGCTCAACTCGGTATTCCCTGTAGGTTACCTGGATCGATATACACCTGATGAAGGCCGGAAGGAAACAACCGCCGAAACATTGTGAAAGATGAGGCCAATAATCCGAATGTAAATAGTGTAAAAAACATTTTATAATTTTTTTTTCTTCATCTGGTGTCGATTTCGGCTTAATTTTGGAGGGCCGGGACTTCAATGACTTTCTGCCCATTTATAAATCTACCATTCGTCCGTGCATCGAAAATTACTGCCATTATCTTCCCTAGTGCCCCTACTACACATCTAGAGATTCTTGACAAAATTCAAAGAAAGATCTGTGATATAATAGATCCTGACCTGGCATCTTGATTTCAGTTACTTTTCTACCAACGTGACGTGGCCTCCCTCTGTCTTTTCTACAAATATTTTCATGGCAATTGTTCTGATGAGCTGTTCTCTTTAGAGACTCACTTGCATGAATTTAAGCGTACTGCTAGATTGGCAACTGCGCCTTACAGTTTTATTTTTGGACAAGCTATTGGTCTTCTTCACAAGTCGAAATGTTACAGTATTTTTATGTGATTTTTTGAAAAGATCCAGTCTTTCTTATCGAATCGCGAAATGAAAGTGATCTTGAACGGCTACTCCTCCAGATCTTTTTACGTTAATAAATACGTCCCTCGGGGCTCTATTCTAATTTCATCAACGACCTTCCTGATGGCATCCATTCTCAACTCGGTGTCTATACTGATAACACAACCATTTTTTTCTGTATTCATAGTAAGTTTTAGCGGTTCCATAAGGTCAATTTGGCAGCTGATCTAAGAAAAATTATCTACTTTCTGTTGACAACTGGGATAAGGAATGGCTTGTTAATTTCAACGCTTCCAAATAGAAACTGCTCACTTTCAATCGTCTGTGAGAACTATTTTCCGTTCCATCTGATGCTAACCTCCAGATAATTATTACATTATGCCTTCTCGAACTAACGTTTTTCCGCTGACATGAAGCGGAAAGAGAATATCAAATCATTGCTAGGTCCGCTGCTAGGAAAGTGGGTTCGCTGTGTCATGGTAGACATTTTTTCTCTTCAAGGATTTACCTTACATAAGTCTATCATTGATCTATGCTTTGAATACTATTGTCACACCCAGTATGATGTTGCTACTTATATATTAAGAGATATTTGACAAAATACAAAGAATAATCTGCAATATTATTGGCCGTGACCTGGCATTTCGTCTTCAGACACTTTCAACCGTCGTAATGTAGCTTCCCTGTACCTCTTCTATAAATGCTTTCATGGTAAGTGTTCTCATGAACTTTCTTCTGTTACCTAGTCTTCATGCTAATTGGCAGCATGATTTCATCATAAAATATAAAATAATAAAATATCTACTTTAATATTATTTTCTTTAGGATCCTGACCTGGGGTTTCACTCACTTTCGCACCACCTTAAATTAGTTTCCCTGTGCCTTTTCTATAAATTCTTTCATTGTATATTGTTCACAGGAACTTTCCTCTATGGCATCCCCTTCCTCATTAGGTGGTCAGTGATGTCAGTTCTCTGGTGGATGCGGGACGTCTTTCCTTTCGGGTGTGATTTTTGTATTTGTTGTTGTGTTTGAATGACTGTGGGCTTGAGTGAGTGCTTCGGTTTGATTGAATGTTTTATATTATTAAAGTCCCGCATTTTAATTTCGTCCAGTTCACTGATGTTTCTGCCATACTGCAGGATTGGGCTGGGATATTACTAATATTATTTTGTTTAGTTTCTTGTAAATAATTTTGTGCAATTATGTAAATATTCATCGACGTTAAATTTTTTAAATGTGTTGTTTTACCCCCACCACAGACAATGAATTGTACACACGAGGACTAATCAGGACCCCATGAAGTTTCTGAGTCATTATAGAGGATGAGGTAAGAATGGTAAGTAAGAATGCGTTGTTTTGGTGAAAGGAATGTATATGTATGTTTGGGTCAGTGTTTGTGGCTAGCTAATTTTAATATTAAGACAGATGAAGACCGTCACTTTCCCCATCCCTTCTTTTTTAGCCTTGTACGACATTTTGTATCATCATGCAGATAAATAGCACTTTCCTCTATGACACCGAGAATTTAAGCGCAGTACTAGATTGTCGGCAAGGTCCCATTATTTATAAAATTGAAATAACAAGCTGTAACCGTAAGTTCTATGTAGACAGTTTCTTCTATCACGCTTGTCGCTTATGGAACTTTCTTCCGGCTTCTTGCTTCGCAGTCAACTTTGATCTTCAGAAATTTAAATGCAATGTCAATCATTATTTTTGTCTTCTTGATTCTTGTTCTTTTATTGTTCTCTCACTTTAATAGTATTTTCCCTCATATTCTCTAGTACTCGGTAACGCCTTGCATCTTAGTGACTTTATTTCCTTGCTTGGGTGAATTGATTAAAAAGTCAATTCTATTATATAAATTTTTTTTCTTGCACTTCTTGCTTGTCGAACTCCATTCAGATTTCTTGCTTCCCTGCCAACTACGGTCTTCAAAAATTTAAATGCAACGTTAATTGCTATCATTGTCTTCTTCAATGGTGTTCCTTTATTGTCCTTTTCCTCATTTCACATCAGTAAAGTATTTTCATCTTTTTTTTATTCCCTGTACCCTCTGCGCCTTAGTGGATTATAGCCTTTGTTGGGGTGAAATGATTTAAAAAAAAAAGATTAAATTAAGTGTCCCGAAGAATCGAAGCCTCAGGATTTGTGAATTTATTAGGAATTAATATCAGAATACAAGAAAAATAGTGGCGTAGTTAATTCAAAATTCTTCAAATTCCAAGAGGCACATAATTCGCCTGACTTCCAAAGGTAGCATGTTGTTCAATTAGAAGGTGGAATAAGCTAGCAGAGATCTGGAGTTCGATATGTAACCCTAAATAGGAGATCACCTAATAAACTGATAAATTAAAGGAAACTGCTGCATTTGTGTGTGATCAACTTGGAGGACAGTTTTGGTACAAACTGGCAGGAAATTGATGAAACTAATATTTATTGCTTGAAATTTTTCGAGTAACTATTATCAATTATTAATGTTTGACTAGTATTTCTTTTATCTTATTTCTGTTGCTTTTCCACCAAGTACTAATAGTCTTAAGTTGTCTGAATTTCTTAGATGAAGCCTTGGCAATTTATTCATTTTGGACTAGTATTTCTTTCATGTTATTTCTTGCTTTTACATCATTTTTAACGGTGCCATTTTACCTTGCCATTATTGTCTAAATTGGAGCCTAATAGAAATTGGAGAAATTGTTGTAAAAGTCAATGTAGCATCAGACCTTCGTTCTTCATGCTAAATTGCAGAGTTAACTGCCCATTCGACTTCTATACTATAAAATACTCTATGCAACACAAAATTTTTCAATTTATAAAGTGATGATTTAATAGTTGGGGGTCCCCTATCAAGTCAGTTGAAGAAAGTTCGTTCAGATGAATAAAATAACAAAAAAGGCTTCAAAAAGCTGCCCGTTAAATAATGTATGATCTAAATAGATAGAAAAGTCTCGAAAATGGCCAACACAAGAGATAATGTAACTTTCGAGACGAAAATAAATAAATTAATAAAATCCAAACTGATGACTTCCAGCACGAAAAATGACGAAGGTTCCCGAAACGATTTTACGGATTTTGCCGAAATAAAACGAGTGGCAATCGACGATTCGTTTTAAAACGTTCCTTTTTTTTAAAAAAAATTATTTCTTTCTTTTTCAAAAACGATGATGAACTGTGTCATATATATATATATATATATATGATAAAAATATACTTTTAAAGTATGCTATATTATATTACAGGTTTCATTCTCAATTCGCAAAATTACTGCACATATGGTGCATCGGTGGTGATTTAGTTAGATATTGCCTCTAATAGATGTAAAGTATAGCTCTCATCATCTGAATGTGG